ACACATGTGCCCCAGGAGTGCATTTCACCAACTCTGGTTGTTAAGACAGCTATAGCCATTCCTGGATCAGGGTAGCTTGTCCACAGTTGTCTGTGCATTGGTGACCATGCGACTGAATTACTGCAATGTGCTGTATGTGATGCTATTCTTGGTATGGAGGTGGAGGCTGAAACTGGTGCAGAATGGTTGTTTGTCGGTGAAACTGCTGCCAGCATACAACACCTTGCTTGTGGGATTTTCACTGGTTGCCAATCTGCTACTAGGCCAAGTTCAAGGAGATCAGGACCAGTTTACTTGAAAGCCTGTCTTATCCCTTATATACCCAGTAGATCACTGTGGTCTGCAAGATAATTTCTTCTTTAAGTTCCAAAGATTTCAGAAGCTCATTCTGCAGTAACTCAAGGCAGGGCTTTCAATGTGACTGCCCCTGTTCTGTGCATAACATTCCTATTGAGATATGACACTCTTCCTATAAGGCTCAACACTCCTACAACTGATTTTCCCCTCTGACATAGCCACATGCCACTCAACAGGTTTTGCAGAATATGTACGTTAACTTGTCTGAGCAGCAAGGTAGATGGAAATATGTAAACCTTCCAGAAATGTAGATCAGCTATAGAAAAATCTTGCTTATGGAAGCCATAAACAGAGGTCAGTTTGGCATATAGAAGTGGCCCCACAGCTATGGCACTTCCTCTCCTGGGATATAAGTTTTAAATTGTTTTAAATGATGTAAGCTGTCATGGGAAAATAATGTATTTTGAATGGCAACTAACAAATTACTTTAAATAAATAACTGTGGAATAGATTTCCCTTCCTTGCACTGCCCTGTTGTTCTGCCTTTGCGTATGTTGAGGGAGCCAGGGGATACAGAACTCTGTTAAAACTTGTGGGGAATGGGCCATACTTTGATGTAGTGCTGACATTGGGAATGATCATATCATTAGTTTAAAATTATTTCTTTCAGTAAGCCTTTGCATCATGAATCCTGTTCTGTTTTATTCTCTGATGTTTTAATTCATGTTTTAAATTTTGTATTTTGTATGCTTTTACTTTTTGAAAGATGCTTTGAGACTCAGATGCTGTGAAAAGCAAGGCATGTCTTTAGAAAAAATAGATAAAAATATACTTTCCACCTTACAGAAAACTCAGATTACAAAAAACAAAAAACTCTGGACTTTGGAAAGTTCTGTCACTTAAGTTTGAGTAGGCGATCTTGGTCAGCATCCTAACAGAGAAACAAATCCACAACTTCCCTTTCTATGTCTACAAATAAATACAACCATAAACAATGAACTGAAAGCATGAGCAAAGGCCTAGGGTTTTACCCTCAAATGTAGTACAGAAACTAGTTAGAATTTTGTTTAGAAATGTAGTTACAAAATGAGGAAGTTTAACTATTGAAATAAGCATTTTCTGGTTCATAGAACTGGAAGGAACCCTCATGGGTCATCACGTCCAACCCCCTGCAACGTGGGAATCTCAAATAATTGTGAAAATAGTGGGGGTGGGGAGACATTTGCTTCTAGGGTACCAATTTAGTTCCAGACTTAGCACTTTCTACTCAGTATCACACAACAGGCTCCCTTTCCTCAGCAGATGTTCTGGTGACTACAGTATTATCAAGAGTTTGTGATATGGACTACAATATATCATTCAAGATGCAAACATAGCCAGCACATGACACACTGGTTGGTACTGTTACAATACTTGAATAATTTGCCCTCCATGCCTACAGTACAGTCTTAAGACTGAAGATAAGATGACTGCATGGCAGATGACTTCTTTTGTATGCTTGCCAAATATACAAACAAGAGGATACTGCTTGACTTTACAACAGACAGTCCTCTGAGAGGTGTTAACACATCCAGAAAACTAAAACGCAAAAACTAGCTTGTGGATGTTACTGAGAATGCAGTTTTCATCCTCCATCACCAGGTGTTATGATGACAATGGTACTAATATTCCCATGCACTGCGCAGTTCACAGAGTCTTGTATTACAGTGAACTGCAAATCTATATTTTTTGTAATTGTAGGGCTAGATTTTTTTTAAATGACATGCTAACTAACAGACTAAGAGGAGGCTTAGAAAATTAATCACAGCTTTGTAGAAGTAATCTAACAAATGTTTTCCTAATGAGGAGAAAGATGAAAATACATTATTAATTATAAGCTTTATGATCCAACTGTACTCAGCTTTGTGAGATCATTTTGTAATAAACTAATGCTGCAACAGAGAGCCACTAAATGTTGTAGTCTTTTTGGTAAACAAATACTTGCAGTTCTACCATTACTGGTTTCCACTCCACTGCTGAGTGAAAGAGCTATGATAGGTACATTAAATTTGGCATGACTTATAAGGACCAGAAACCAATATTAATTATTTTTAAAGTTTTACAGGTAATTATGAACCATGTTAAATGGCATCTGCAAAGCCACTGATTTCTCACAGCACTAATCTCCCTACAATTTAAATTAAACCAATACATTGAAGGCATTCATTCATTCATCACATGGACAAGCTGTAAGAACCCCCTGGCTCAAATACTGACTCCAGCACAGCTGCAAAGACAATATCTGGCATGTCTCTTTCCATTTTAGATCAACCACAATTTAGTGTTACATCCCAGCACTAAACCGTGGTTAATGTTTACTATGGTAAGTGAAAAGCCAGCTTCATAAACCATTGCTGGAAGCTGGTTTCCTCTCCCCACCCTCATTGATGATAGTTAAGAATACTGCATTTTATCTAGGTTCAGATGTTATGGCATGTTACAATCTAACATAGAAGCAAAAGCTAACTCCTCCTCATGGCCTCAACAGAGGAGGTAGCCACTATTCCCAACTGCAAGCACAGCAGAAGGCTACACTTCATCAAAGCACACACCTCTTCCCCCAATCCCAGCCTATGGTATAGCAGCCGAGAGATTTGAAACGGCTCAACATAATTGAGAGGAAGATAACTTTCCACTTCTCTGCCTGCATCTCTGGTACATTTCCCTTCTTCCATAAACCCAGTAATATATCCTGAATGCACCCTGCCCATGACTCTTCTCTCCAAGGCCTACCTGGTTCTTCTCACAACTGTGTTTAAACACTTGTTAAAGATTGGTCTGTTCCCTCTGTCAAACGCAAACATAACAAATTTCTCTGATAATATTTTCCACCTCAGACACTCTCCCCTTTCCTAGTGTGCCAAAAAAGGTTGTTAGGGCTGTGGATTAGGTCTGTGAACATAATTTATATATAATACCTAATTAGGCACCCCTAAGAATATTATTTTTTCTTGAAATCTGAATAGCAGCGAGGGCAATAGTGTGTGAAAATAGAAGAACAAACAAAAGTCCATGAAATGGCAACAGAAGGGATTCATGTTTAGGGCATTCAAGTGAAGACAGAACAAGTTTATAACTGACTTACCAGCAGGAACTTTCAAAACTCATTGTACACATTGCTAAGAATTTATGTTCATTATTTTGGGAGACACTGTACATTTGTGTGTCACAGCATTTTGTCTTGAATGAAGCCATTTTCATTAACACTAAAGAAATAAAGTTACCATAGCTGTACAATACAGAACTAAATGTATATATATTTAAATAAATGAAAAGAACATTACCTTAAGTAGCTGATTGAGGCCCTTTCTTTATAAGACTACAGATAAAATATAAAACTGATCACCTTAATGAGTCGTGTGTGCTTACTCAAAACTAAAACACATATACGTCAATGAATTCCCAAGTTAAAACAAGTAGTCTTGCAGCAGTAACAGATTTACTCTGCCATAAGAGTCCACTTCTACCAGCATGACGAAACTGCTGCTCCCATTAGATATGCAGAGGATTGCAACCTTACACCCTTAACTCTGAGGTGACCTAAACAATGAGAGCCTTATAACAAAGAAGATTAGTTTACCAATGACAGCTCATGCTCTTCACCTTATTTTGCTCCTTAATGACAGGGTGCCAAAACAAGCATAATGCCAGCATGTTAATTTAAAAGGGAAACCCAGAAACTCTTAATACAAAAGATGCCCAATCAGGTGGTTTTTTTTTCTTAAAAAAAGAACAACAACCTGGTAATCTAGAGCTCTTCTGCGTGAGCACTTGCAAAATCAACCTATGTTTCAGTCTGGTTCAAAACGGGAACTGCCTATTCCCCTCCAAAAAGAAAGAAAGGATGAAGAAAACTGCCTTACTTTCTCAACCTCCACCTGGTTCACTTATTAGTAGAACAGACAAGATCAGGTAAGCCAGCTAAGACTTACAAGTCTTGCAAAGGGTATTAGCCCAGGAGAGGAGGGTAATGGCCGAGGAGCGGAGCCTGCCAAAAGCCACAGAGCATTGGGGGGGGTCACAAAGCCTCCCTCCACCCCACCCCATCCCAGACAGCTGCTTTATCCTCAGCCACCTCTTGGCCTGAAAGGAAGTGTGGCTTCCTTCCTCTGCCCCCCTCACCCCTTCATACTAATGGGTCAATGCCCTGGATGTGTGTGTGTGTGTGTGTGTGAGAGAGAGAGAGAGAGAGTAAGAGAGAAACATCTGTGTAGCTCAGCCATCCTTTCCCTCTGTGTGTGTGTACACATATACACACTGGACGTGTGTGTCTGTGTGAGTGTGTGTGTAAGATAGAGAAACCTCTATGCGGCTCAGCTATCCTTTCCCTCTGTGTGTGTGTGTGTGTGTGTACACATACACATACATATGTGTATAGACATATACACACACATATATAATGTAAACGTATAGGCAATGCAGAGGCCCTTCACCCCATAGAGAGAGACCGCTTCCTCTTCCGTCACCACTGACTATAGAAATGAGGATGAAAGGCAGATTTTTTTTAAAAAAATAATAATAGTCCGAGTCGTCCCCTCAGGAGGATCCTCGTCTCCCGGCTACATCCGAAGTAGCAACCGCTCTTCCCCACAAGACCCCAGACGTGAGGCGAAGAGACAGAGAGAGAGCGAGGAGAAAAATATGCGGCTCCCTCCACTTCTCACCTGCGCTTCTCCTCGGGCTGCTGCCGCCGCTGCCGCCGGTACCGCCGCAGCTGCCGCCGCCCCGCGGGCTCCCCCCGCGCCTCCGCCGCCTGCCGCTTCTCTGCCATCGCCGCCGCCGCCGCCATCCAGCTGCCGCTCCCGGTAAAGCGACCAAAGCCCCACGTTGGGAAGGAAGACGAGGGCGGCCAGCGCCAGCCCCACCGCCTGCAGCAGCCGCTTCTGCTTCCGCCGCATCCGAGAAGCCGCCGGGAAGCCCCCACCCCAACTTTCCCCTCACACAAGGGGCTGAGGCGGCGGTTACGGCGGTTACCGCGGCGGCGGCGGCGGCAGCAGCAGCAGCACTCGAGCAGCGCGCGAGGCAAAGCCGACCCGCCAACTCCGCTCCGTCAGGCACTTCCGCTCCGGAGGGGTGGGCACTACCACTCCCACCGCGAGCGGGTGGGGGGGGGAGAAGCTTGGCGTTGGAGCGCCGCCCAGAAACCTCGAGGCTAGGCCACGCCCACCGATAGTGCCCGGCACCGAGCGGGGGGGGGGACAGAAGCGTGGCAGCTCCGGCTCCTCTCGCCGCCAACCGCCCCCCCTCAAATGTTTTGTAAATGGTACTGGCCGTAGTCTTCCCCTGTGGGCTGGTGGTGGAGCTGACAGGGCCAGAAGCTTAAATAGGAGCGAGTGTGAGGAAGAGGGTAGACCGGGCGGAACCTGCCTGCCAGCAAGGCTGCCTTTCCTGCGCTGTGCCATAGGGTTGTAATTAGGCAACGCTTACATTACTGAATGTGAAGGGAAGAAGTTTGTAGCAGAGGAGCCCTTATGCTGGAGAGGCACGGGCAGGTTAGAAGGCGGGGGATGATAGCGCTAGCAGAGATCAAGCGGGACGGAGCAGCCCAAGGGTTGTTAAAAGAGGCAGTACCCAGGATTAGGAAATTGAAAAGGCTCAGCCTCAAAGCATTTAATTCCTTTACCGCCTTGAGCAATATGTTGGAGGAGACTTGTAGGGTTGGTTTGTTTTTTAATTAATGTCTGAAGTAAAGCCTTCTAGGAGCGCCAGGGAAATGTTGGAGCAATGTGGAGGGACTTTCAATGCTCTTAAAATAATGCGATACGCTTGTATTAGGTTTGTCAAACGTCAGAGCCCTGCTGTGAATTTGGATCTTAGGTAAACAAAAGAAGCGAGCCCAGTATACATAGAGAAGTTCAAAAATTCCCCCAAGGTGCTGTTGTTCAATATCCTCTAACCACGGAGTGATCTGCAGCCTTTCCACCTTAGCACCTTGTTAAATTGTACATTTAACTATATTCTAATCTTGTAAATACCGCCTTTTGTTTGCCAACTGCAGCGGTTTTTTTGTTCTTTTCAAACTCATTGCGCACTTGCTAGAATTCAATAGCTGAAGGTTTTATTTTGACTTTATATAATTGTCAGTAATTATAGTCATAACGGGGAATTAAAAAGGCTTCTTTTCACTGCCACTGCTAGGAGATGTAAATAACTTTGAATATCATAAAATGGTAATGCAAAATAAGCTAGTGTCTTTGAATTTAACTTTAATGTCACTTCCAAACCAGAGACAAAATAGCTTCATAGTACTGACAGCATATTGGTTAGGATCCCCAAAGCTAAAAAAATGTTCATTTTAAGTGTGCACGTGCTTGCTTGTAAATCAGAATATTCAATACACATTGTAAAAGTTGATACTTCAGTCCTATATACTTCCAGTTTATGGCTGGTATCTGCTTTGAATCTTACATAGAACTGAGATACACCATCTGCAACTACTTGTTGGTCTGTGAACATGTGTAGCTTCAAATTATGCAGAAGAATCAGGCCTTTTCAGCAGTAAATCTTAAAAGTTGTTCCACAAACGATAACAGGACATTAGCATGCCTTTTCTTCCAGACCCAGGGAGAACTGTGTTCTTTCTTCTCACTTTTGGATCTTGAATGGGTGTGGCATGTAACCTACATAGCGAAATATACTGGATGAGATCCAGTTAAATCATACACAGCACTAGAGATGAAGCCACTTCAGTGATTCAAATTTCCACTCTGAAATGCCATTGAAGAAAACCTCTGCATACTGCAAGTGAAACCGTTGCTTCCAAAGTTTCAAAGCTATTGTTTCACTTACAACTTTGCAAGAATGAACCATGCGGTAAATTGAAGCAGCTGTAACCTAGCAGTTTGAAAGTAAAAACAATTTCCCCATAGGATTGGAAGGATGCAGAGAGCATTTCTGAAGTCTCTGGTTTTGCTAATATTGCTAGATGTATTCAGTGTCAATTTTTGGCACTGATAAATATTATTCCATGACATGATCAAAACGAGTAAATGCGTGTCTTGTGAAGGGAAAGGCAATTTTTTCAAACTTGGCATACAGGAAATATCACACCACACTGTTAGTCTTTCAGGTACCAAGAGGGAAAGTTGTTTAGACTTCCCACGGTTACTTGAGCCATTAATTCTTTGTTTGGCATCTGCAGCCACAGCAGCTGGTATAGCTGACACTGGCAATTGTTCATCAGCCTACTGCTTGAGTGTGTTCCACCATATCATAAACAAATCAAGTCTTGGCCATGACACAGCATTTCAAATAACTGTTCTCTCTCCTCCTAACAATTTCTTAACACTGCAGTCCAGTGCATGTTGACTCACTAGTGTTTAGGATTGTAGCCTAAGTTAAGAACAAACAACCTGTATAATTAGGAAGAGGAATGCTGAGCAAGAGCATTTTAAGTTAAATAGCTGAACTATGGCAAAAGCACATCCTGCTGGGTTTGCATCTTAAATAAATTAGTGCCTTGCAAGTGGAATTTCTACATTTACATTTTAATTTTTATTGCATTAAAATGTTCTATTTTTAAATTTAAAGTTGCATTCTTCCTTGCCTCCACACATATTTTCTCTCCCCCCTCTGCCACCTAACCCTACTGTGAAGAAATATAAATTTAAACTCAGCACATAATCCGCTAGGTGGCAATCTTCCAGCTAATTCTGAATTCATCAGATGCCAGGCAAATTATCCAACAATTCATTTTAAGTACAAGTTACAGCCCCTACGTTTGTATAACCTGTAAGGCTTTGGAGTTGCTGACTGTTTTCTTTAAAACACACTGCTCCATGGCATATTAATGGCAGAGATCCCCACAGATTCATTTTTTCATCTCACTGTGTTCCTCTTTGTCATCACTGTATTATCATCAGTGGTGCAGTGAATAATACTCTGCCTGTTGGTGAATAATGCATAACCACTTAAATTGTAAACCAGTAAAGAAAGATGTATAATACAAAAAGCTTTCTTTAGAGATTTATACCTTAAATTGCCATGAGGGCAATTGTTATATTTACTATTTTATATTTACCAACCTGAGGTGGCTGCACCAGCATATTAGCCACAGAAAAGTCTCCTTTGTTGCCATTTTAATTCCGTATTTTCTTTGTAATCCGTTTTGGTAACTCCTTTAATCTCTGTGCCCAATAATGGGCATTTTCTCTAATCCTCTTCTATTAAACCTCCTCCTTTTTTCCTTTCTGCTGCAAAACTGCTTTTTTCCTTCTCTTTCTGTATCCCTTCTCTTTCTCTTTTCTTCGGCCTATCCTCCCATTTTCCCGTTTCCTAGTTTACAGGCCTCTTTTTCATAGCACCATTTCAACCTGTGCTTTTTTGTGTGGCTATTCACTTGTATGGAGTACAGTCACCTCTCCTTTTTTTGCTGCCTGTTGCAGCCATTTTGTGCTGGCACCCATGGCACGTTGATCAAGATATGAGTACTTTTCAACATCTTTTGACTCTAACGCTCTCTCCTGAATTGTAAAATTTTCCACTAATGTTGTAAGCAGCCCATTGCTTACTGTAAGAAAAGATTACTGATGAGGGTTAATTCAGAGCAAACCATATGAAGCTGATCCTGGAGTTGCGTGTCTCTCTCTCCTGTTTGTGTGCATTTAGAAATGGCTTGCTGTCTGGGTGGGCTTTTACTTAGGTCAAAAAACTGCCTCTGTATAAGCTCGCCGGTTTGCCCCAATTTATTTCTCAAATTAGTCCTTGTTTATGTCCTTCTGCCAAGGCCAATTCTACGGCTAAATTTATTGAAGGACTTGTATTCTTGCATGTCCCCTTTAAGATTTATTGACCAGTCCAAAGCAAGAAGTATCTTGTATCAGCTTTCTCGACTCTTTTTTACTCTCCTGAAGGAAAAACTGTGTGATTTTATTTTGTCTTTCCTGAAGTTCAGGAGAGCTACTTGTAAAGTTTGGCATAATTCCCCGGGCTTTACATGCCTTCCTTGTGTACACCATGTTGGTCAACCATTTGGGGAGAGAAGAGAGTAAAGCCTTAAGCCTTAAGCTTGTGCAGAGTCCCACAAAGAGCTACATCCAACAAAGTGGAGAGGGGCTAATTCTTCAATTTCTTTCATTTCTCTATTAGTAGTTTCTTCTTCTTCTTTGGCAATCACTCGTAGCCGAGTAAGATTGTCTTCCATGAACACGGTTTTAACAGTGAGTCCTAAGTTACTGTGAAGGGCAATTCTGAATCCACACCTCCTTCCACAGTGGGGACATAGGTTTCCGGGCAGGGGTTAATCATGGTGAGGGTTTGCCAAGTGTGCCTTCCTCTTAGCATGTTTCTCCCTTTCGTCCTGAGTTTGAGTGTCTTCAGAGTCCATGACTTTGGCAATGGTTGTTCTCCAACTGGAGTGCTCACAGGCCAGTGCTTCCCAGTTGTTGGTGTTTATACTACATTTTTTTAGATTTGCCTTGAGAGAGTCTTTAAACCTCTTTTGTTGACCCACCAGTATTATGCTGCCCATTTTTAAGTTCAGAATAGAGTAGTTGCTTTGGAAGACAATAATCAGGCATCCACACAACATGACCAGTCCAACAAAGCTGATGTTGAAGAATCATTGCTGCTCATCTTATTTTTACCAAAACACTGATTACTACTATCTCTTTCCCCTCTGTGCACTTCATAGAATCCAGCATAGGTCTCTCTTTACCTCTATCTCTCAGCTGCCTCCTCAGTCCTTATTGCACAATCTGGAAATTATAGAAAGCCACTTGCTTTCCAGACCATGGATGTACTTGTTCTCACAGTGAAAACTTGTGATTGATTTGAGAAGCTCATAAATCTGCCACTGGATGACAAAATCTGAGGAAGACTGAATTGGTAGAAAAGAATTCTGGCATTTTCAACTAGACAGCCTTGCAACTGAGCACCCCCCACAGATATTCTCCTTCAGAGGACCACAGGTATTTCTTTGTCCAAGAACTTGTTATGTAGTCCTGTTATAGGACTGCTTAGATTCCAAAGTCACCTGGAACCGAATCTAGGAGCACACCAACCTTTGTTTACATGTGTTTTGGTCAAAGCCGACACCCAAAAATGGGTGTTGGAACTC